GCTGAGTTAAAATCAAAATTATCGCTCACATCCGAATGAACCAGATGCAGAGGGTCACTGTAGTTCTCCGTTGGCCCATTGTGTGAATGATCTCAACTCGATACTTCTGGGAGTCAAGCGTACACTAATGCATAAGGGGAATAGCCTTTCTAGCAGTGCAGTAATTGAATGCACGATACATGTTTACCGATCCCAGGTAACTGGCTCCCACTGGTATGCTGTCGATCTATAGACGCTCCGAGTTTTTGTTCTGATATGTTGATATTTTGCGTTCGTGTGAATAGGCGTGCAGTGCTCGGTGCATGGGGCAGACTAAAGGCTGTGTTGTTTCCACAGTGACCGATCAAAAGTCAACAGGGAAACGATAGCCATGGTCAAACAATTGTCAGACAAATGGAAGAGACACCCATAGTACTGGTAGAGTAATGGTCACAGGGTGAGCCGGAGAGGCCAACACCAAATAAATACACCACTCGTACGACCAACCATAGTCGACTTTTATCTGTGGCCAACGATGTTAGGCTGCTCAGCCTATTGAGTTTGCATCACGTGTTGTGGCCGTGACGACAGAGACTGTGTTCCTTTGACTGGCCGACGATGTCTATCACCTTTTTTTCATTCGGTGCCTTATCATGCACTTTTGTTTCAAAGAATAACCTCACTGTCTAGACTCTCACTGCACGTCGCTCTCTGCTGTCTGTCTGATTTGGTGGGCAGGTTCAAGCAGACATAGGAAGCACAACTACTGCTTGCTCATTAGCGATTTTAAAAAGTGGCGACGGGAATGGGATACTAACCCGCACGAAGTAATCCAAATGGATCACGAACTGCACAACGCCTACACAATGGCACCCCGCTAGACTATTGCATAACGTTTATCTTGGCCTTGATTTTCAGCCCATTCACCTAGTTTAGTGAAGTGAACACAGCCTTTGGACCCAAGACTTATCTTGGAATTGAATAACGTGTCTCAATTTCTCGAGCTGCTCAGTCACTGCACTCGCGTTGTAAAATACTGATGACGTTTGCATAAGGAAATTCACATTTATTCTGTCAGCCAGGTTAGCCACATTCAAAAAAAGACTTCCCAGGCTCCCTAGACCAAATGGGGAAGGGAAAGTCAATATTTGGCTCACCTAAAACTTTCCGGAGTTAGGCTAAAATGCATCATGGGGTTAGAAGTAGTTGTATGAAACTAAAGCCGAGGTGGGTCCCCATCAAGCGATGAGTTGCCCTCTTTTTATCCGCAGGCCCAATTTAAGTTCAGCTTCTCACGTGTTCTATCCACACAAACGATTTCGCATTGTGTGAACCGTATTCACAAAAATATCTGTTACGTAATCATGGAGGCTTTTATTTTGTGAATCTTCTGAGGATCTACGATCAACTGTAGTGTAACCACTCGCTAGAAAGTAATACTGGCAAGCAGCTCTGTCTTCTTCATTCTTTGAGATAAGAGTTTGTTTAGATGCTTTATCGACAAATTTACAAAGAGACAAAGTTGGCAGTAAGTGGGCGCCAAAATGTCATCAGTTGTGATAGAGCTATCATCCTGGAAGTGTAGTCAATCTGTCGGAAAGGTGGAAAGCATTGTACAGCAGTGACCTGCTTATCTGGAATCATCACCAATGCGCATCACACGAAACTCCACAAAGTTTCTATCAGGAGAACCGGCTCCGAACGTAACGGGACTACATAACGGTCAATGGAATAACCGTTTTTCGTTGAGACAGATTTCATTGGTTGTTCTTCACCCGTCCTTGACAGATGATTTGTAATCTTAGTAACACTTTTTGACCCGGTTGAATGCGACGGTGATCGACAGATCAGCCGGGTCGCACGTTCATTGACTTTTTCTGGCAGAGTGGCCAAGCGCACCAGGCGTTCAATCGGCTATCCAGACCGGGGTTCACGATAATCAGAAAGCATTAAGGAGACTGTGGTCCACAACACTGTTTCTCTTAGATGCGCTGGAATGTGTCCAGACAACAGAGACACTCCAATGACCGCCCTGGTTACGCCTGCACTGAGCCAGCGAGACTACGCGATAAAGGTAAGACACGCCTGTATTGTCAGGACAAAACATACAGGGCTTCTGCATAAATATATAGGATGAATAAGTGGCCAAATATGATAGTTCACTTGCTCGTTCTGTACAGCCAATAATGGTGTTCCAATCGTGAGCAGTTTCAGCCCCACCCAATGGTCTTATGTTGCTAAGCCGTGTTTGGTGAGAGCCGCCAACGCACCTGCTATCCGGAACGTGTGGAACCGATGGTGACCTTGGGGATGCGTCATTCCCAGCACATATACTTTTCCAATGTCTGGGCGCGCCCTGACAAGTGTCTTGAATTTTGTGGCCAAAACTGGGGGGCACTCACTAGTAATCCCCGTGACTAACAAGCTTCTGTGAAGGAGAGACCGGATTTTCCAGTCATACTGTTTCGTATGTATCTTGCTTTGATGCCTCCTGCAGTTGTCGTAAGCTGAGACACAGAGAGTGTTCTCCTTGTTCTCAAGCGTTTCCAGTCGTGAGAAAGGTC